TAAGAGAAAGATAAGCGGTCTTCTCCCATCAACATTTACAGTCTCAGAAACCAGATTCAGGGTTTCTACAAGTCACAACCGAGTCAACAGTGATGAATAATGTTGTGTAAAGGGTTTTAAATTTACCCTTATTTAATAAATATTTGTTGACTGGATTGAGAAAGAAGACCTTCCACCAACTGTGGATCAAGTACTCGTTGACTGGGTAAATGATAAGACTGAGCTGCTTGTGTCTAAGAATAGTGAGGTCACTAGGGTAGAGTGGTAGCTGCTTTATTCAGAGTTAGGACCAAAGGAAAGTGCTACCTGCTGGTGGGAGATATGATAAAGGCAACCTGAGCCAATTTCATTGATAAGTTGCTTTGATGGAACTTTCCTTTCTCCTGTCCTTGCTTTGTGCTGGAGTGGGTAAGTGGGTTTGTCACAATTTCTTGGAGAAGGAGAGGGTTCAGCCCACTCTGAAGCAGGTCAGGTTTTTTATTTGGTCATGTTCACCAAAGGCAAGCTTTTAGACATACTGCATTTAGAAGGTTTATTGGGGAATATTCCTGGTAATACAACCTGTCAGATAGTAAGGGGAGCAGGATGAAGCACAGGAAGAAACTAAACTGTGAAGAATTTGCCCCAGAGACCTCTGTTGACTGACATGGAGCTCTTGAGCTGGGAAAGCTCTTCAACAGTGCTCCAGATTGAAGACGAGAGGTCAGATCATTCTTTGTGTTTCCATACTGGTTAGGCACTGGGTATGGGCTAATCACAAGTAGCAAAAGTAACTTTGAAGATGGCAGCTCACTTTGGCCAAAGAAGGGCAACTCATGGGCACCCAACAGCCAACACTTCTAGCAGCCTTAGGAATATGCACATTAACTGCAACACTCACTAGAGAACTTACTGAAGTCCAAAACTGTTCTTCAGTATAGTAAGTCTGAGCTCACAGAACGATGTAGTGAAAGAAGTTCTTCAGCACTATTGTCAGGATATACAGACTTAAGGGTGGTGAACAATGCTGGGCAGAGGAAAAAAGGGCATAGTAAGAAATTAAAGGAGTTGTATCCTGTTTCCTTTTAAAATTTGAGAACAACTTGCAAAAGGTAGGCCACCCACTCAAGTGCAAGTGCCATCTTTCTCTGCCTCTCCTAACTACTTATCCCTGAAGGCAGTTACCTCAGCTCTGAGTGTCTCCAATTATTCTGGAGGCTAACTTAGGTACTATCCAGATGTATGCGTGAATCCTGCGGGAACTGCCATTAGTACTAATGGTTGGCCTTCCCAGGAAGCTGCTCACAGTCCCCAGGATTTTCTTGAGGAAGAACCAAGAATGGACTTGCCTTCCAGGAGGGAGATGACTGAAGCAGCTATGAAGTGGTGCATGGGATTTCAGGTGTGGAAAATGAGGTCAGGTTTGAAACTGATAAGTTGAGAGAAGCTAATTAATAATGGATTTTTTTTTTATATATATCCCACATTCTTGTGACAGAGTTGTGGGGCTTTTCTCTTGATTTGGCTAGTGTAGCACTGAGTCCTCCGATGCTTCTGAACGCTGCTTCATAGTTGTAAGCTTGCTTCCCCTGAGTTTGAGAAGCTAGTACCTCAAAACTAATCCTTCCTGTTCTGTTCATCTTAATGACTACCAGTTACACACCACTGCAGGGTTACCAGTGATGTTGTAGACATCCACCCTTCTCATCAATGTTTTAATGTCAGCCTGGCGCATTCACAAGAGTAATTTGTATGCTCTTCAATAGCATCATCACCATCACATATTGGACATGTAGATACAGGAGATAAATTTTCCTTTATCAAGTCTTACCTGGGACAGTACGCATACTCAAACTAAAAAGCTTTTGTCTGAAACTTTGTTAATGTGTCTGATTTACTCTTTCGTATTCAGAGACTGTTACCCATAAGTAAGGGCAGAGTTATCATGGAGATTGAACTGAGACCGAGTGTGTTCCTGGGGCAGAGCAACTGTGAAACTTTACCTGAGTGTGAAATCTTCTTTCTCAAGTTCTCTCTGTGTTACTAAGTCCTGCTTCAAGGCTGCCGCAGGACCTTAAAGCACACTCCCCTTAGAAGATAGCCCAGAAACAGAGGAATAATGTGCCTGGGTCCGGCCTGTGTCACTGATTCTCTGTGTGTCTCAGATTGGTCAGTTGAGGCTCTGCCTCTGGGTGTTTGGTTTCTGACTCTCTCATTAATAGTACGTCCCTAGCGCGCCCTTCCCTAATTGCTTTCTTTCTGTGTCCCCATGTTTTCCTTTTTACCGCTATTTAGAGTCTGAAACATTGTGAAGAAAGATGTTAAGTAGAGAGACAAGTCATGGCTCATAGAAAAGCTTCCACACTTGCCAGAGGCAGCAGCAGAAATGACCAGTATTAACACACCCAGGAGTCTGTCGTAGCCTCTTAGAACAGAGAGATTCTGCCAGAGCTTCACTTCAGGTGAGGAATGTGGAGGAACAGTCACTACAGCTCTCCTAAACAACCTCCTGCCACATCGTTTATATCCCTTATATCCAACCTGTGCCTATTAAAAAAAGGTCTTATACTTCCAGGTTCCTCTATTATACTGCTCATCTAGGCTTTCATCCAGTCTATAATTTTTTATGTGTTTGTCAACAAATGTTGTTGTCATCAGGAACCAAGTTTGTTGCCACCCATGGGACCCTATGCTACCAGAGCAAAATACGACCCAGTCTGGTGCCACCCTCACAACCATTGTTATGCTTGAGCCTGTCATTGCAGCCATGCATCAAACATTCCTGAATGACCACTAGGTTTTGGGAATTTATGTATCCTGATCTGCGACTACAGCAATAATCAAAACATTGCCCTTATTCAGGAGGGATTGACACATTAAAAGATTTTGCAGTGCCAGATATTCAGAGTACATGGAGCAGGTAAAAGGGGGCATACCAGAAGAAGTAGAAGTAGTTGTATCATGCTGCCTTTGGAAATTCAAGAGCTTCTTCAACTGAAGGCTGATTGCTAGATCTGAAAGTATATGAATAAACAGGAGTTGAACAACACTAGTTATTTGCTAGTTGTTCTCTTTTACCTTACTAGATAACTAAATACATCTTTCACTTTAAGTTTCTGGGGGAAAGCCCCCGTGTTTTCTTTATTTAATAATTAATTCATAATAAACCACTTGTAGCTTTTTCTGTGGATTCATAAACCACTCAGTATAACAAAGGTTATACCCTGTCATATGTGTGCCTGCCTCCCTCCTCCACTCACCATACTTTGACTTCACCTACCACTTGTCTAGTGAAACTGTTTTCACTATGGCACCTTCTTCAAGCAAAGAACAACTTTTTTCTCATTTCTAAACCAGTATAAAAAAAATAGGCAGACTTTTGCCCACAACAGGGTAATCCATGAAGACTATTTATTATCTCCATATTCATTTATAATGTTAAGCACTAGGCTGTGAGTTTTGCTATAATTATGTCACAATTAAGAGTACCAGCGGATATGAATCTGAAAGATAAAGACTTAGTAGTAGTCAAATATTTTTAGCTGCTATAATCACTATTATCAATATTATCATCATTGTAAGTTTATGAAACATACTTTAACAGATATATAGATGTATAACCCACAATCACTGAGACATTTGTGACTTTTTATCTCTATATGCACAATTCTTTATCATTGTTTTATACTGAAAATATCTTTTACCATAAACACATAATTTGAAATCTTTTGTTTTAATATTTGAATGCTGAATTATGTTAAGAAAGCGAAGCAGAGTACCTATTAATTTGGTGGGTTTTATTGATGAGAAGGTGTCAAATATACTAAATTTTCATTTTATCCTGATAAGATATGTTCTTGTAAGGTGTCATAGAGTCAACTAAGACTTAGAGCAACCCTATGACCAGCAGATCTGAACCTTGCTCTTTCCTGGACACGCCTCACCATCTCTGATACGCAGCACTCAATTGTTACAGTCACTGTGTGATCCACCTTGTTGGGGGTCTCCCTCTCTTTCTCTGACCCTCCACCTCTCAGAGAGTGATGTCTTTTCCAAAGGAAGGGCCCTTCTGACAACATGTTCAAAACAAGTGAGACGAAGTCTGTCTGTCCTTGCTTCTAAGGAGCACTTTGATTGTACTTCCTTTTAGACACACTTGTTTGTTCTCTTGGTAGCCCAGTTCAAAGAGAGAAATAGTGATGGAGACAAAGGAACGATGGAAAATTTCTATGACCTCATCTTTGGAGATCTTTTACAATGAATTTTAATAAAATGAGTACTAACTATATCATTTACAGGAGTCGGATTCTACAAAGCTTGTTGGCTGGAATTGGTGAGCATTAGGGTAGAATGTTGATTCTGCTGTACAGAGGTAACCCGTGGTTGCTGTGATGCTAAATACTGTGACACCATTGTGCCAAATGTGATAATGGTTATCCAAGGTGGACAGTGTTTGGTGGAGCTTCCTGATTAAAACAAGCTTGGAAGGAGGAGTGGCATCCACTTCCGAAATGGCTTATCTCCAGAAACTCGATGAACATAGAGAAACGACCAAAGTTATACAAATGTTCAGGTCTTTCATTCATAGGGTCGCTATGAGTCATCCACAACTCAATAGCACTTAACAAAAACAACAACTATATAATTTAGCCTACACATATTCAGTCTTTATATATATATATCTCACCCAAATTGCTCTTTAGAGCACTGGTGGCCTAGTGGCAAGAAGCTGTGCTGCAATCCCGATGGCACGTGGTTCTAATCCACCAGGAGCCCCATGGTGAAGGGTGAGCCATCTCCTCCATGTGATTAACTGCCTCTGAAAACCCACTGGAGGGTCAGCTATGGATCAGTTCCAACTTGATGGTATACAACAGCAATTAATCTTTAGAATAAACCACCATGGTTAATATACCATTAACTAATTTTATCCCTGTGTTACAGTTCAAACTTCTTTGTTGTTTTCAAGAAGATGGTACCCAGCTGTGGACAATGTGATAACCCATGACGAGTGGACAATCATGACTTTTGTTTCTTTCCCCTCTTCTAAGTCATTGGTGATGGCCCTTAGCAATTCCAGCTGGAGGCTGTCTCAGCCTTCTTTTTTCCTGGTAGGTATTCCAGGTTTGGAGGAAAGCCAGCACTGGATAGCATTGCCCCTGGGTGTCCTTTATGTACTTGCTCTGATAGGAAACGTAACCATTCTCTTCATTATCTGGACTGACCCATCCCTACACCAACCCATGTACCTCTTCCTGGCCATGCTTGCTACCATTGATCTGGTCCTCGCCTCCTCCACTGCACCCAAAGCCCTGGCAGTGCTACTGTTTCATGCCCATGACATTGGGTATACTGTGTGCTTGATCCAGATGTTCTTCATCCATGCATTCTCCTCCATGGAGTCAGGCGTGCTGGTGGCCATGGCTCTCGATCGCTATGTAGCCATCTGCCACCCTCTGCACCATTCCACTATCCTGCATCCAGAGGTCATAGGACGCATTGGAGTGGTAGTGTTAGTGCGGGGACTGCTGCTTCTCACTCCTTTCCCCATCCTGCTGCGACGCCTTGTCTTCTGCAAGTCCACCATCATAGGCCACGCCTACTGTGAGCATATGGCTGTAGTAAAACTTGCTTGTTCAGACACTACAGTGAACAGAGCTTACGGGCTTACAGTGGCACTGCTTGTGGTGGGGGTAGATGTTCTGCTTATTGGGATTTCCTACGCTCTCATCCTCCTGGCAGTTCTAAAGGTACCAGGGGGTGAGGCTCGACTTAAGGCCTTTAGCACATGTGGGTCCCATGTTTGTGTCATTTTGATTTTTTATGTGCCTGGAATGTTCTCCTTCCTCACTCACCGATTTGGCAAGCACGTACCTCACCACATCCATGTTCTTCTGGCTACTCTTTACCTCCTTGTACCACCTGCCCTCAATCCTCTTGTCTATGGGATAAAGACTCGGCAGATTCGACAGCGAGTACTCAGGATATTCTACACAAAAGTATAAACATGCTCAAAGTTATCTTCTTCCAAGATTCTTTCCAAAGACACTACTAGGATTTTGTGGCTGGTCTAGGTGATGTAAAGGACCTTTCACAATGAGTAGTTCTCACAGTCCTAGTAACTCCATTGTAAAGAATACCTTTGGGCACTTGACGACATAACCTACAAGGATGCACTTGGCTGGTCATATTTGTAAATATTTTCTCTAACTACACAGTCTTTTTTTCAGTCTTGACCAAATACCTCCCCACACACAGTGTCAAAGGGACTTGGAGATGGAGGGGGTGGGGAATGACACTTCTGGATGTATTGTCTTTTCTGTCCTCATCCAAAACTGACTTTGCAGGCTGCTGGTACCAAGGTTTGATTGTGCATCTCAGTAATGTGAAATTGTTGACAACTTCAATCTTTTCTCCATCAATCATGATATTGCCTATGGCCCAGTTATAAGAATTTTTGTTTTCTTGACACTAGAATATAATCTATATTGATTCCTTGTAGACTTTGATCTTCTGCAGCAAGAATATCACATTTTATTCACTTCCAGCAAGCAAAGTTGTGCCATCTCTATGATGCAGTTTGCTAATGAGTCTTCCTCTGATCCTGATGCCACATTCTTCCTCACTATATAGATTTCTTTAAAAGAATATACGTTTGGATATGTTTGGAACGGATCTTTTGTAAAAAATTTTTAAATGTCCTTTTTGCTTAAGGAAAGAGGAAATAAGACCAAGTGTCAGAGGTATGTATGTTTTAAATGTATTGATCTAACAAAAAAAATTACTTATGTAATTATCTACATCTAATAACTCTAAAATGTGCTAGATTTTAGTGCCACTAAAAAGTTATTAAAATAAGAAATGTGGGGTTATTTATGTCAATTAGAAAGTTTGTTTCTCAAGTTTTGGATATAGAGATATAGAAATCCAGTTCCCATTTTTTGCAATAAGAACTAGGTCAGCTTTGTAAGAGGACTGTAACCACTGGTCTCTTATTTGGGGAGTATCACTTTAAAACCTGGCTTAACTCATTGGATTCATAAAAGATAACACTTTGACATCCCAGATGTCAAATATTTGCTGCTTTGAGACTGGATGTTCAGGTGATTAGAACATGCTGAGATTCCATAGAGAGTTGACGGCTGCCTAGTGTTTCTACTTTTTCTCTTTTATTTTGTTTTTTTTTTTCTCATAACTGTATTCTTAATAAATTGTTTTCTATTACAGAACCTGAGTGTTATGTCTTTTATTTGCCTTGCACATTCAGTAGGTTACAAAGGAAGTAGATAAGCTGTTTTTGTTGCAGGAACAGTTACATATTTCCATAACTCTACTTTCTTTTCAGTTTTCCTAAGAAATATTTAAAAACACGTTTCTTCATTTTAAAGATACTCAATTTTTTAAGTTATGTTTTCTTATTTTGAGGAATTTTCTCATTTTACCTAAATTTTCAAATTTGTTATTTTAATATTTTTTTACATTTACTTACCTATATTTTTATCATTATCCTCTTTTTATAATTTCTAGAATTTTTTTCTATCATTTCTCTTCCTCTCTGGTAAATCTTACCAAAGTTTATCAGTTTTCATTTTTCCTACCTTTCTATTTCTATCCTCTAACTTCAAAGTTGGATATTTTCCTTTACTATAGTACAAACTTTTAAAGTGTATGCATAAATGCCAATAATGCTGCTACATTAAATATTTATATTTTATTTACTTTATAAGCATTTACATTATAATAATGTTATACATATTATATAAAAATTATTCTTCTTTAATTCAGGAGCTATTTAGAGAATATTAAATTTTTCCAGGTATAATTTCATTACTATTGTTTTATTAACAGCCTTCTAGTCAAAGAACACTGTCTACATAATGTTAAATGTTTTTGTTTTGAGGTTTTTAAACTGTTTCTTACCAAATTCTCATAAACTCTAATTTCCATGGAATTTAAGTGTAGAGTATTCCTTGAATACATTAGTACAAATATTTTCTGTTTTTGCATCAAGCTTCAACTCTCCAATTCCTCTTTATCTAATTAATAATCTCTATCTCTTCACAGTAATGCCAGTATTATAAGATAAATATATGGAATATGGATAATGCTCGTTTCAGTATTAGAGGCAGAGTTTCACATTTTCTAGTGTGTTCCAACTGGAGAGAATGTATAGTGTATATATGAGGAGTTTCTATGATGGACAGAACATGAGAATGTTGTTGTTATATACCATTGTGTTGCCTGCAACTCACAGTGACCTTATGTGCAATAGCTCTGAACCCTGGCCCAACCTGAGCTAATCTCACTGACTCCAACACACCTACCCTCATAATCCCAGTGAACATGAGAATATGAAGTAATTAATTTGTTACATATTAAATATTCAGTAGAAATGATTCTTTTTTAAATATTTTTTATTTTATTATCTTTTGTGTGTACCATCAAATCGTATCCGACTGGTACAGGAGGTGATTGTCCCTCCTTCTCCAGCAGAGCATCTGGTAGACTCAAACCACATACCTCTGGGATTGCAGTGCAGCTTCTTGCCACTAGGCCACCAGAGCTCCCTAGATGATTCTTAAATACAGTGCTATTGGCCCAGCATAGTCCATAGGAAGTTTGTGTTGCTAACTCAAAGGCTATCCGTTTCAATTCACCAGCAGCTCTCAAAGAGAGAAATCTGCAATCTCAGCCTCTGCAATTTATAGGTATGGAAATCCAATGGAGACTCAGCTATGAGCCACCTCTGACTCAATAGCAATGAGTTGAGTTGAACTGAGCTTGTTTACATTCTTAAAATAATTCCTTGAGCTACCTGCACTGTTGTTATCTTCACATTGGGGCGGGGGGGGGGGACACTGAGTCCCATTATGATAATATAGATTTTCCCAATTAACAAAATGATGTAGCTAGGATTTTACTTTATTCCACTCTCCAGGCTTTCTCACCATAGCACCTAACTTTAGAGTCCCTTCACCTGGGTCCTGTCCCATGCCACATTGGCAGTAATATATGTTATTGAGATGCCACCACATACTACATTTTACCAGTCTTCTCTTTTGATCATCTGCTTATCAAAAATGGAAGTAAAAAAGTTCTAGAGTCTTATTTGAGTGTCTGTTTCTAGGTCTATGTCGTTGTAGTTGTTGTTAAACGTTGTGGCCTACAACTCACAGAAAGTCTATAAACAGCAGATCCAAACCTTATCCTGCAGCATCCTCACCATCTCTAACCTGCTAGAGTCACTGCTCAAGACTATTGCTGGAGCCACTGTGTCAGTGCCTCTTGTTGAGGGTCTTACTCTCTTTAATTAACCCTATAACTTTCCAAACATAATGTCACTTTCTTGAAAGCTCATATATGAAACAGTTGGATTCTGGAGGGTAAATTTTCTTGTTTCAGTTGAAAGTCTGCAGTAAACTCTTTGTTTGGTTTTTATTTTGTTCACAATCATGTATGAGCCAATTGGATTTACTGGATTTAGCTAACAATCAGCTGTGAGCTAGCTGGAAGCCTCTTGTTTAAGTCAATCAGGACCTGGTGGGCAAGCCTTTGTATTCAAAAGTCTGTTGGGCCCTGACGATGTTTCCAGTTTGGAGGCTCATGTGTGAAGCAGTTGAATTCTGGAGGGTAAATTTTCTTGTTTTAGTTAAAAGTTGGGGGTGAACAGTTTGGAGTGGTTTTGTTTGGTGTTTTTTTAATCTTTTCTATTTTCTTTATTTTATACTGCTTTATTTACAAAGTTTGTATACATTGTTTTTCACACAGGATCTTTCCCATCTCCTTCACACCCCCTCCATCCATCAAATTGTGCAACCCTATGATTAATCCACCCCTCCCTACTATCCTCACCCCTCTGGTCCTCCCCTCCCCCCTTGGATTCTCATACTCGTTCTACAATAATGGTCTTATACAGTATTTATTCTTATGGGGCTGAGTTAGTTCACTTAGCATAATGCTCTCCAGTTCCTCCCAAGTTAGGTAGTAATTTAGAAAATCATTGCTCCTGCAGTGCTGCTTAGTATTGCATTGTATGAATGTACCATAATTTCTCAAATGTTTGTTTTGGGGGTTTTTTTATTTCATTCACAATCATGTGTGAGCTGATTGGATTTACAGAAGTTAGCTAACAATCAGCTGTGGGCTGAAAGCCTCCTTTTAAGTCAATCACGATCTGGTCAACAGGCATTTGTATTTAAAAGCTGGTTTGGCCTTTGGGCCTGCAACCCTCAACTCTGGTGTTAACTGTGTTTGGGAAGAACATTCTCTTAAGTGGCAATCTCCTCCTGTACAAACCAGATCCGATTTGAAGTTGGTTATTGTTGTTGTTGTTATATGCCATCAAGTCACTTGTGACTCATAGCGACCCTATGTACAACAGCCCTAAACTCAGCTCTGTCCTGTGCCAATCTCACTGTCTCTGACACACCCATCCCGGTTACCCCAGTCACTGAATCAATCCACCTCATACAGGGCCTTCCCCTCCTGTGCCTGCCCTCCACTCTCCCAAGCATGATGTCCTTCGGTCTCTCCTTATAATACAATCAAAGTATGTCAGACAAAGCCTCAGAATCCTTGCCTCCAAGAAGCAGCCTGGTTTAACCCTCTCCAGGATGAATCTGTTTGTTTTCCTAGCAGTCCATGGTACCCTCAGTACTCTTCTCCAACACCATAGCTCAAAGGCATCAATTCTTCTATCCTCCTTAGCCATTGTCCAACTCTCTGTTGCATAACAAGTGATTGCAAAGATCATGGGCTGTATCAGACGCACCTTAGTCTCCAGAGAGATACCATTGCTCTTGAGTACTTTAGAGAGGCCCCTAACAGCAGACTTTCCCATAGCAATATGTCTTTTAATGTCCTGGCTACTGGTGCCAAGAGTGTTGATTGTGGAGTCAAGCAGACTAAAGCTGTGAACAATATAAATCTCTTCATCATTCACCCTTATGCTGCCAATTGGTCCAGTGATGAGAATCTTTGCCTTCTTGACATTGAGCCTCAATCC